CAAACCGTGGTTAAACTGGTGATCCAGTAATTCAAATTTAATTTTTAAGAATATTCATATTTAAAAAATCAGTAAAATTCTATGGATAACTGATATGTAATATTTAAACTTGTAAAAATAACTTTATTTTTGTTGTTTTATATATTATTGAATTTTTAATTTATCTAACTAATTTGAAAGAAAATTGTGAGAAATTATTAAAAAAGTTGGGATCTAATACTTTGTATTGTTTGGACGTAAAATTAATTATAGTGCTGTTTGAAAATATGAATAATAGTATAAAGAAATAAGTATATTGTTTGGAAACATGGATAATATTATAAAGAAACATATATATTGTTTGGAAACATAGATAGTAGTATAAAGAAAAAATATTTAGTTTTAAAATTTACAAAATAAATGTTAGCTCTAATCCAATATTTTTGATTTAATAAGATTTTTTTATTTTTTGACGACTTCTGATTTAATAAGATAGATGATCATTTTCATCACAACTGTTTTTGAAGTAAAATTCAGAGTGCGACAATATGTCACTGCCAATTTTGAAGTAACAAAACAATAACCTTACGAGATTTTTTTGTTCAAATTGTCAATAATTTTCCCGCAACTGTCATTTATTTAAAAACATTATTTTCTCTTGTAGTATGTACTTGAGAAGGGGACATATCACATATGGATCATGGACGCATGGCCTTAAAAATAATTATCTTTTGTCACAATAATTATACACTGCTTAGATGTTCTCATTATATACTCAACCAATAATTGGTTAAAGATATCTAATAAGGTATATCCAATAAAATTGGCTTCAGCTATGGAGATCAGATTAATTCAATAAACAAGGAGATCCCTGATCACATAAACACACATGCACAACGTACCAAAACCAACTGGCTGTTCAAATTTCAACAACTATATCAATTATTATATAAAAGTAAAATGTTGCTCAAAAATAAATCTATACTATTAAAAGAGAAGGAGTGTAAATAAATCTACTTAAAAAAGTTGTTTGCACCCTTTCATTAGACTAACATTTTTAGTCTTTCCTTATATTTCTCTAACTATATAAATACTTTACAATTTAAATAAACTCATTTATTACTTTCCATAATCTATTATAAAATTTCTGTAACAATAAATATTCATAATATTATA